ACCTAGAAATTTAAAACTAGTTGAAAAAATACGGGGGGGAAAAACTGAGTTTGTATTGTATCTGGATACAGAGTTTGAGTATCGATAGTTTGAAAAGTATCAATACTCACTTTTAAAAACCCTAGAAGATAATGGTTTGCATTTTATGCCATCTGTTCTGCTTTTGTTCGATTGTATTTGTTACATGACACATTTATCAGATCTACAGCAAAAATTATGATGACCTCCACATTCATTTAAAATATAAAGATGGGCCATCTCTCTAAATCCGTTTACTTTCTGCCTACTTTAAAAACAAATAATAAGGCCACTAAAGCCTAAAAATAGTCCTAAAGTATAAAGATTTGGTTTATTAAAATGATATATTCTGAATAACCTAATCATATAGTGGGAAGAAAATCCTTAAGAAAAAACTTTGGTTTTTATATTATTTTGATCAAAATCACTTGAAAAAATAAATGTATATATATATATATAAAGAACTTTTTTATATTATGTATTACTTTGAGTTTTGTGACACAACGGCCTGCTTCTGTTAGCTATTCTTGAAGGTCGAAATTAGCATTTTAACACTTGGATGATTTACCTCTATTATAAGTTAAGAGCTGAGATTAATTTCCCCTTTATCTGTATTTTAGGCTTTCCAAATAGACTTAAAAACTTTAGTTGCCATCCTCAACCTTATTTTTTAACCCTCCACAATTGGTCCTTCATTATGTCGCTGAGACACTGTTATGTATGGATGGTTACACAGGATGTTACTGGCAGTTTGAACTGTTTCAAGTAATAAAATGTTTTAAGTTCATCCTCAATGTGAGTTTTAGCATGAAAACCATCTGAAAAGCATTAATATTGATGCATTTCAGCCTACTGTTGTTCAATTTAATTCAGTTCAATTCAAAATGGCTTTAGCAATCCTAAAGGAAAAATGAAATGTTGGAACTCGGGTTGTCGTAATTGTTGATAGCTGTAGGAAGGAAGGATCTTCTGTAGTTTATTTATATAGCGCCAATTCACAACACGTCATCTCAAGGCACTTTACAATTCAACTAGAATATACAGTCAAACTCAAAGTTTTCTTTCTAAGGAAAACCAGCTGATTGCATCGACTCATTGACTCAAAGGCAATAACTAAAACCAAGCAGCCTCGACCAGGAAACACACAGCCAGACAGACAAGCTCTGAGCCAGCTCCCATGTCAGAGGATGAAAGAGAGCACATACAGTTAGTCACAGTGAGAGGAACAGTACTACACTGAAAAACAGGCCTAGCTCCAACATCCACAAACAAAGACGTTGATGGCTGCAGCACAGCTGATATTTCTCTCCAGGATGGGGTCACAGCCAAACAGGAACAGACCAGAGGAAGCTACTATGAGAAAAAGCAAAGAGAGCTTAGCATTAGAGATTGAACTAACAAATTCTGCAGAATGGGAGAATAGAGATAGAATGAAGCAGAATGGGGAAAAAGGGTCCCTATGTCCTCCAGCAGTCTAACCCTATAGCAGCATAACTATAGAGATAGCTCAGGATAACCTGAGCCTCTCTAACTATAAGCTTAATCAAAAAGGAAAGTTTTAAGCCTAAAGTAGACAGGGGGTCTGCCTCATAGACTAAAACTGGTAGTTGGTTCCACAGAAGAGGAGCCTGATAACTAAAAAATCTGCCTCCCATTCTAATGTCTTCTGTGGTGGGAAGGTGAGGGTTAGTACGATCAGAGAATTAAACCAGAAGCGTTTTTCAAATGAATTGAATAATGGAGCCTAAAGAGGCAACTGGTATAAATACAGAAAAATCAATTTTGCATGTTGAGTAATGGAAAGGGCAGTATGGGGAAAGAGAAAAAAGCATTCCTTTGAGGTTCTTTGAACATGTTTAATGGCAGCAATTTTTGGACAATAATATGTGTTCAGTTCAAAAGGCTAATTGGTAACTTTTTTTCTGTGGTGGTTTGGTTTAAAGATCCACCAGTGGGTCCACAGCTTCCCATGATCCCATGATTAAGTAGACACGCTTCCCAGCTGAACTTTTGAGGTTTCTCTATAGATTTCCCTTTATGCCTTTCACTTGCCTTGAATAACTCTTATCTTGTATTGCCGTCATGCAGCTGCTTGTCTTGGCATGCAGTCCACTGTGTCATATGCTGCTGCACCAAATTTGGTACATGGTGACGTGGAACCTGAAGCTGTTAGAGGGGTTCTGGGATGGATGACACTTTGCTTCTACATTCTCTGGCTGATATTGTGCCATCATGGAAAAATCCTGCATGCTGGCTCTGCGTGCTCTCTGGATCTTTTTTCTGTCACCTTACATTTGACAATAGGTGTTCTAATAACATGGTTATAGAGTTATGAATTTGTACTGGCGGTAAAAGTAGATATTTATTCAGGTTCGCATTATATTTAGGAACAAAAAGGCGTAGTGGATTAAATTATTACGCTCTGAATTTATCTGTCATTTAACAAAAAAGAAATGTCCTCTTGAGGAACTTTTAACCTTAAAGGTGAAATGTTTAATTTAAATCTTTGTACCTGCTTCTTGTTTTCTTTGTTCCTCTAGTACACGTGTATGTTTGGATAACCACACATTCATCCTACTCTTCCCCACCTCAGTTGCTGTACTCTGCTTTTAAATGACTATCATAAGGGGAACTTTATGTTTTGGCCTCCACCTTTAACTGCATTCATGAAGATTTCACCCAGTTCTCCCTCAAAACCAGATGTCCCTGGTTAGAAACAACACAAAAATGTGATATGTGACACATAATAACCTTTAATAGCAATGTGCCAAAGCTGCTCCTCAGCATAAATGCAGCCAAGATGTTGTGCAGGATGATGGCTGGTGTATTTTTATGAGCATGTGGCTCCAGACATAATGCCAGAAAATTTATTTTCCCCTACTTGACAGTGAGGGTTGCAGATTGTCCCACATGATGTTTCATTGATGTGTGCGGGTGAGAGTAAATCAGAGGATCATATGTTTTGACATATGTGTGGCATCTGTTTGCTTGTGTTGGCTCAGAGCCGGAGTGAATGTTGCAGGGTTGTCATCCTGTCTTACACAATCAGGGACCTTTTTTCGTAAAGGTTGTTGTTTACTTATTTCTACTTTGATTTGAATGATTGACTTCAAAACAGGATGAAGGGACAGAGCAGTAAGCAGTGCATGATAATCCCTATAAATTAACATAAACAAGCTTCAGAAAATGTTTAATTGTTTAAAGTATGGTAAGAATAAATTCTAATGTGCATTGATGCTTGTTTGTGAAGTTCTTGGCCTACATCATCAATATACAATAGGCAACAGGTGCACTGCTTAACAAATTAGGAAACGCGCTGCACTGCAAAGAAAAATAAAGCTGAAATCACAGAAATTAGAAGAAGGAAAATGCAGCAAATAAATCCCTGGCATCCTGTTAATGTCCTTACTGAGGGTCTTGTTTAGTTCCACATGGAGGTCAACTGCCCTCAATATTCAGGTGCGGTTCTCTTATGTGGAGCAAGCTGGCAGCATTTATTTTAAACTTACAGTTTTCAGTATTTATAGCATTTTCTTATTTTAGCTTCATATGTTTTTTTAGTGTTTTGATATTGAAGCCTTTTTTCCCCGGATGCATGACGCATTTAGTGCGTTTGAGCCCACAGGCCAAAACGTCATGTAACTCTGCACCTGAAAACATCATCGCCCTCAGTGAAACATGGTAGTGGCAGCATCATGAATAGGTGGATAGTTTTGTAGTTCGTGCAATCCTGGAAGAAAATCAGTTTGATGCCCAGAACAAACAGTTTGCTATGTATTCATTTTCTTTGTAAATAAAAATAAATCAGAAATTAGGTATTTATTGCTTTCCACTTGATGCAAACATTTAAATCATAAAATAAAAAAATCCAGCTAGTTTCATGAGGAAATTATATCTTAACCGCTTTACCTCTTATGTTTTTTAAGCCAAAATTTTTTTTATTTTTTTTTTACTTGGAATGGCTGCAAGAGCTACATTAAATGTGTCTGTATATCCGTGTGTATGGGCTGGTTCTTTTTTGTTGTTTATTTTTAATGAAAA